CGGAGGCTCACCTGACTTGCATCGCGACTCAGACTGTCGCCAAGCAACGTGCGATTTGACTCCCGACTTTGCGGCGGCAGCAAGGCGCTCGCTTGCATCGACAGATTGGTCGTGTTGGGCAATCTGAATCAATGAATGACCTGTGCCACTTGTGAGTGAAAGTCCGCAGCTCGGCGTAGAAGGCCATATACTCTTCTGACAATTGTGGTCAGTGCGCCAATCTTGAATGATATCTGGCCAGCAATCCTGCTTATAGACACAGCCCCGCCGTCGGAGTTGCGGCCCTTTTCAATCCGTTGCTGCTGTTATGGACGTGCGCCGAGCAAAGACCACGCGCGCATCCACGGAGTCGCGAGTATGTTCGAGTCACGAGTCTGGTTGTCGTGAGACTTGCGAATCTACACGCAGACCTGACCCTTCTCGCGACTGGTGACTGTCGTGTACACGCCGGGCCATTGGCGCGAAAGGACCAGAAAGGTCGGCAGTCACAATTCGTGATGAGTGAGCGAGTCAAGAGTGACGATCGGTGCGTGGGATTCCACCGATTTGCTGGCTCGTCAAGTGCATGCACCGGTCGAGAAACGCAGAGCCAAGCTAATGGATGTGGATGAGGCTGTCTGTGTATACACCATATGATGTGAGCCAATAAAGGAACCGAACGCTTCATGCCGCGCCATCTGTCACCTCACGCCTGGCTCGCCATGATAGTCGTCACTGATGCTGAGAAACGGATGCAGCACTCCCCGGACGGGCCGATAGGGTTCAGGAACATGGATCGAGCCAGGCCCCAAGATGAGCGAATGTCTGTAAATTTGTGATGCAGGGACGACAACACAAATGCCCCCACTCGTGACTCATCGATCATCACTGTTTCCCATCGCAGGTAGGAAGTAGGACTTCGGGAAGGTCCGTGCTGTGCAGGCGCCATGCGATCGTCAATGACTGGAATGCTCCGCGAAGAGGAGCTATCTGATGAGAGCACGCGGCGGACACTCCATCACCTTCGTCAGAGCAGCCTCCATAGGTGATGCATCTTCGCCCAGCTCCAAAGCGAGGGAACGAATGTCAAGTAGAACTTCGACTTGCTTTTGGGGTGCGCGAGAAGCAAGGATGATCTTGCATTTTGAATGCACGAGCTGCAGCATCAGCATCGGCCGGTATGTACAGTCACAAGTCTCAGATTGATGTGAATCAAGAGTGGAGTAGTTTGAGTCGTCGTGAGTAATCAACCAGTCACGATTGGCCGTGCGGTGAGGGCTGCACGCTCGCATCGCAATGTCGAATCCTTGCTATGCGAAAGGCGACACCGTGCGCTCGACTCGGACACCATTCTGATTGAGCTCTTGCTGCAGGAGTCACAATCACTGAAATCTTGAATTGTGAATAGTCGTGAACTTGAAGTCACCGACTCAGCTGCTGACGACTGACTTGTCGAGCCTGAGTCGTGAGTGAGATGGTGATAGGCTCATGCATATATATGAACACCGATCTGGGTGCACGTTTGATGTTGATCGCCGCCGCTCCTTCCTTTGCAAGCAGCGCACGCAGCAGCATGAATTCAAGATTCACCATTCACGATTGTGAATCCGAGATGGTAAAGTCACGACTACGGGCCAGCCATGCACCCACCCACCGGCCGCCGTCGGTGCGTCTCTATATTCATTCGTGATTCTGACTGCCAGGAAGCGGCGCGTGCTTACGCATAAACACGCGCAAGCTGGGCTGATCCGCGCTTTGCTGTCGATGTGCCTGGATGCATGAACGCTGCATGTGTGCGCGCACACGCGAACGCGTCCAAATGAACCCAATTAACTCGCGTCGGGTGCCTCGCGCCGCCCGGTGCTGCGTGCTGGACCCGAGTAGGTCTATCCAACGCCATCAAGCAGCAGCTGGCACAACGCCTATGCGAGACGCCATGCATACGCT